CGCGCCGCTCAGCCCCCGGCCCCGCCCCCCCGGATGTATATGCGTGTATGGTATGCACAGGTTGCCGCGCGCGAGGGCCGCCCCGCTGCACGGGAAGGTCAGCGTCTTGCGTTTGGACGGCTCTGCACGGCTGCGGCGCTCTAGTTTCAGATCACATCGGGTCTCGAAATACCAGGTTTGTTGGAACAAACTTACTTTAAATGAAGATTATTTCCATAAAAAAAACCTTCCACTGAGGAGGGGCACGTGAAAACCTCCTCATTCAGTTGGCCACACGCCAAGAACTCCACAATGTTTTTCCTTTAGTACTGTTACTGTCTGGAATACAAATCGTTTTTGACCTAAGCAAACACTAATTACCCTGTCAGTTGGAAATTTGTGTGAAAATTAGTTCAGTTCTACCACTCTTGTCAGGAGAAGCACTGTACAGAAAGCAATAAATTAAATAATTCATGAGATTTTTGCCCTAAGTATAATGCAATGAGAAGTGGAAAAACACTTAGGCAGGATGAAACATGAAATGGGTTAAGCATGCAGCAGTGCAAATATAAATCAACAGTAAGTCTTTCCCATCATCAGCAAATAGTCATGTAATTGCTCTGTAAAAAGCAAATACAACTATACATAAGTCTCCTGAATGTGACTGTTTGTTAATTCAATAATGTAATGTATTCTGTTAATGTAAATGTATTCTGTATTATCCACTTTAGTAACGCTAGTGGGATCTAAACAAGGAACTTAATATAGATGTCACCAAAAGCGGAATTAAAAAAATTAATTGCAAAAAACTTAATTACTATTACCCTGGGTACTTTTAACTTTGTAAATAAAAAGATACTGTATCCATTCTACACCACAGTATATTCATAGTTCCATTGTCTCTGTATGCCTATGTATGTCGTTTCTCACCCGTGTTGCATCTCCGTCCTGCTTTATCATATCCATTCCAGGCAGCTGGTTTGGAAAAAGATTGCCTCCCCTCATAGCAGGATCATTAACCTATTGGTAACAAGATATTAAGAAGAATGAATTAAAAAATATGTTCGGAAGAGGGCTGGGAATTAAAAAAAAAATGTATTATAAACCACTATGCTACTTGCATATACCAACATCCACTTTTGAGATGACGTTGCAATCAGGAAGTGACTATATAGCTGAGCATCCTTCTTGTGCAGCATGCGTTTGACTCATATTATTCTGCTTCACAGTCAACAACAAAGATTTCATTCCTGATACTATGACCGTTACGCATATTTTACAAAACAGGCTCCATAAATTAGGTCAGTATTATTTGAAGAGGACATGCCTGCTATCAAAGTCCTGAAAGCAGAAACGCGTAACTGCTTTCCTAACCTCAGTAACACACAGCTTTTCTGCTTGCAAACCACCACACAATTTTTTCAAAGCCTGATAACATGTAAGCTGAATTATACCAACTATTGACTCAGTTTTAATGACACTGCCTTTTCTGCTAGTAACCAATGGCAGAATGATAGCATTAAACGGGAAAACGTGCAGCTGCATGCCTTCCTAAACGGATGGTCTCAAGAATTTTCTGAACACAGCCACAGGAAAGTATTGAAGCTGTGTGTTTCTGCACAACCAAAGGGTCTGTCATGCTTAGTTATGTGGAAAGAAATTGCTTTCTTAATCAAAGGATTAATCTCACCGTGTAGGAACTGGTATAAAATACAAAACACAGGCCTTCAGCACGGTTCTGAAATATTAGAAAATCCAGCTTTCCTTAGAAGTTTTACAGGGAAAGAAACCTTCTCCTAGGGAGTCTTTGTTGACTCGGTTCTCTCGTTACTTCCCTCGGACTAGATGGATGTGATAATAGTGAAGATATGCCCCTCCAGATTTTGCGGGAAGGAAGATGATGTTTTCTGTGTCACCTGCCTTTAAGAGACGTGTGTTGCCAAGGAGAGGAGGTTCTGTCACTGCACTACCTCACTTCAGCTACAGCAACCTGCTACAGCAAGGTGGGAAGACTGTCTTGAATTTACCACACCAAAGTCTTCTCGTTTCAGGTCCTCCTGACTGTTGTTTCTGTCGCTATTCACCGATTTTGCAAAATGTCGCAAAGCTAAATGTAATCACATGCAACCACCTAAAGAGGTGTTTAAAACTGCTGCCAGAGACAAGACTGCAGTTCAACAGGAAAGATTAAAAATGTAAATATTTTTGCCAGAGGAATTTCAGCTCTGAAGAAATTGATTGTTCAGCACTGCAAGCCTTCTAGCGATGCTTTCTGCTTCTTAATACAAATAGGGCAGATTTTTAAACCAGAATCTGAAAATTTAAATCAGAAGGGAAGAGAACCATGCTATTTTGTTTGGAAAGAAAAAAAGTAAACAGCTTCGCAGCTTTATCGACATGCATTTGACTGAGCAACAGAATCGATGTTTGAAAAGTGTTTTCTGCTATTGATGGACATTCATCAGAATGCACAGGCACAAATGCCTTTTCTGTTTGTTCAGTAGACAAAGGAAGGAAAAATTAAAAGCAGAAAAAAAAATTGTATACTGCATCAACAGCAGTTTTGGAACAAAAAGACGAGTGCATTATTTGCATCATGGCAGAGTTAGGACAGGTATGGAAAAGGAAGATGGTTCCAGGCTGCACGCCACAAAAGCAGCAAAGGCACCAGTGAAGTTCCTATCACAGATTCTCTTTGCCAGTGATGATGCAAGAATGCTGACTGGCACGGTAACAGATACAAAAAAAAAAAAATCTACCGTTTTGTTATATGAATACATTTGCTTCAGAAGTCCTTGAAACAAAACACCCCACATTCACACATTAACTCTTCTGACTGCAATAACAATTCAATCAGAAAAGTATGGGAAAGGACAAAGAAATGGAAGGGTTTTTATCATTTTCTGAAGGCAGACTGTCCTGGTTTCAGCTGGGATAGAGTTAATTTTCTTCCTAGTAGCTGGTATAGTGCTGTATTTTGGATTTAGTATGAGAATAATGTTGATAACACACTGATGTTTTAGTTGTTGCTAAGTAGTGTTTATGCTAGTCAAGGACTTTTCAGCTTCCCATGCTCTGCCAGGTGCACAAGAAGCTGGGAGGGAGCATAGCCAGGACAGCTAATCCAACTGACTAACAGGGTATTCCATACCATATGACATCATGCTCAGTATATAAGCTGGGGGGAGTTGGCCAGGGGGCAGTGACCGCTGCTCGGGGACTGGCTGGGCATTGGTCGGCAGGTGGTGAGCAATTGCATCATGCATCACTTGCTCTGTATATTCTTTTATTATTATTATTACTATGTTACTTTATTTTATTTCAATTATTAAACTGTTCTTATCTGAACCCACGAGTTTTCTCACTTTTACTCTTCCGAAAAGGCTGTGTGGTATTTAGTTGCTGGTTGGGGTTAAACCATGACACAGGTCAAGTGGTGTTACCAGACATAAAATCTGACTAAAACAAGACAGAAGATGTTTTACAATTCCTTTGCAATTAAGCACATTAATACAGCCTCCTGCTAATAAAGCAGAATTATATACAAGGTGTCTAATAAGAAAAGTTTCCTACCACCCCAGGGCTCCTTTCATCCAGTATGCTGAACAAAATCAAAATACTGTTTCAAGAAACTCTTTGCAGATGCCACGATAATTTTGGCCTGGAGAGTACAGCACCTGTGCAGATTAATAGACCTCTACTCTGAGTGGACATCTAGATAGTGGTTTATTTCATATACGGAAAAGTCTCTTCTCTCGCATAGGTTTCAAATTGCTTCTCTGACAACTCAGTAAATAACATGGATCCATGATGCAAAATAAGTAACAGACAAAAACACATCAACAGTCCATTGTGCAAACAAGAAGACAATGACATCAAGGAGACAATAAGTTGTGTGAATGGTGCAATACCGGGAAGGTTTAGACTTTCTCGATGCCTGGGGAAGCTGTTTTGGACAGAAGGAACTTGCAGACCTGGCAGCTAGCATTTCAGCATTCCTGGTATCAGCCTTGTAGAAGACACACTAGTAAGAGCAGCCTAGAGAGCTTTACCGTAATTATAGGGGAGAAGATGATAATAAGACAAGTACATAAAAGAGTCTCTAAGCATCATAAATAGCAAGCCCAGGGAAAACACAACATTTTTGGCAAAATCTTCATTTTCTACTTGGTGATGCTGGAAGCCTAGGTAGTAAACAAGAAGAAGCTGGAGTTATATCAGTATGAGCAGATAAACATCAAACTTAGTATTTGAGCTCTGGATATGTCTGTATGATACGATATAGTGTTACAAAGAGAGACAGGAGACAGAGCCAAACAAATCTGTTTGGTACCAAAGGTAATATACTTGCTTCTCGCCAGGTAAATAAGCCCAGGCACAGCTTTTTACTAACAAGTAATATGTATTACTTCCAAAACCATCCAGTAACATATGAAGTGGTTTTTTTTCAAAAGCTGGAACACATTTGTAGAGTAACCACTGTTATTCACTGTGGTTAGAAAAGGATGAGCATGTGAAGTTAAACTTATGTATTATGGAACAAAAAAATGGCAATGACTAAGTAAGTAAAAGTGTAGGTGACAGTATAAAAACAGCCAAAAGAATGAATGAAATGGCAACAGTCAGCAGAATTAAAGAAAATATAGTCATTTTGAAAACCACCAGTTACAAGAAGTTAAGCACAGCCTAGGTCAATTGCTAAATAAAGATGCCAAATTGTAAAACACTATGCCCTGAACACAGAAAAAAATAAACCAATTTTAGTATTAATATAGATATTTTTATTTATTCCTGTCTCTCAGAAAAGAAAATGTGAAGCAGCACAGCAAACATTCCTGAGGACTAAAAAGTACTGTCTTGTGGCCCAGAAAAGGCCCCTCAGCTGCCAGTTGGCCACCTCTGACCTAGATGAAACATAAAACATTTGTTTGCAGAGTTTGCAAGTTACACAGTGCTGGGGTGGTAAATCAGGAAGAAAACAGGTTACTGTTTCAGAATGAGCCACAGCACTTAAGGAACAAATACATTTGGGAACAAAGAACGCAGGTTTCATCTATGTAGAACATGCTGAGTAGGATTTGGGGATCATGGTAAGGGTTTTAGTATGTGCTCTACAGTGCAACATTGTCACCAACAGAGCCAAGGCAACCCATGGATTGAAAGAGAAATTACAAGCAAAACTTGACTCTACACAGCTTTGGTGCAGTCACTGTTAAATCACCGTCTCCAGGTACTCTGTTCATACTTCTAGAAGGAGGTTACAACAACGGAGTGCAAAGTAGATCCACAAAAGGGACTGATGGGCTGAAAAACAAATGTTGAGATGGATCAAGAACCTCAGCCTATTCAGCTTACTGGAAGTTAGATAAATGCTATCTTGAAACAAGATCTTGTAGTCTAACAGGAAGGAAAAGCAGTGCGACAACTGTGCTAGTGGAAACCGTAGTCTACATGGAAATCTTTGAAATAAAACCAGATGTCTTTCTATAATGCATGTTTCTCAATTCAGGTTCCTGAGGAAAATTATGTAGCACGGGCATGCTGAGAAACAGACTGGACTGTCACCTTCAAATCCCCACTCTTTTCTTTTTTGGTTTTACTACTGTTTTTCTACATTAAATGTGTCCAACAGTATGCACTTGAGAACTAATAATAATAAAAAAGTCTGCTATAGTTGGGCGTAGCAACCAGGAATATCAGAGAAGGTGACAGATTTGGGAGTATCAAAATTACTTCAGGTCACCAGTATGCGGCAGCTGTAAAAGACAAATGTGATCTGGGGCTGTATCTGTCAGAGTATTCCAAGAGAAATGGGGAAGAACTAGTGTTATGCATATGGCTCTGGTGCTTAGAAAATACTGATTCAAACTGGAACAGGTACAGAAAAGGAAAGGGAATTTAAAGCCTACAAGGAGAGACTGAAACACTGTGGCTTGTTTAACTTCAAGAAAAACCCCATGAAACCCAAAACAAAACAATCCAACAACCTCAAAACAACAACAAAAAACCTCACGTTGATGGAATGGCTCCTTCTAAAATACAAGAAGAAAAAAGAGCTATTTAAGCTAAAGGACAATATCGGATAAGTAAATAGTCTGTTACCAAATTTAGGCTGGAAAATTGGATATTAGGAAAAATTTCTTCACCAAAAGGGTTATCAAGCATTGGAACAGGCTGCGCAGGGAAGTGGTTGAGTCACCATCCCTGGAGGTATTTAAAAGACGTGTAGATGTGGCACTTAGGGACATAGTTTAGTGGTGGACTTGGCAGAGTTAGGTTTATGGTTGGACTTGATGATCTTAAAGGTCTTTTCCAACCTAAATGATTCTGTGATTATGGACTCAGAAGAAAGGTTTATGGTATTTTCCACCATAGCAGGAGACGCTGCCTGAAGATACAAGAGGTACTTCCCTGCCATTATTTCTAAGAAAAGTCCATAATTTCAAGTCTGTGTGTTGAACAAATGGGAGTTCAGCTCTGAAACAAACATATGAACCTGTTTATTAAGAGGACTTGTTTGTCAAATACTTATTAATGTACTGTGTCAGTTTAATTGCAGGTAGACAAACAGAAATGTTATTTTCCTTATTTCAGATACCCTAAGTAGCAGTCTCAAATAAAAATGACCGTGCAAACCTCCTCTCAGCAGAAAAGAACAGGTTACTTACCTATTGATTCAGCAATCTATTTTATACGCACCACATTACAAGAAGTGTGGATTTTGTGCTCATGAAAGTGCCGGATTGATAGTTCCTGAAGTTGACTGCCTATTGTCTGGTACTACAAACACAGTGGCAGTAGAAGCATCTTCCACACACTGCCCACGCCAGCTTCTTTCATCTTATCTCTAGGAAACAGCTGCCTGCTATTCAGCCCTAGCCTCCACTGCTGAGAAAATTAGCAAGAACACTGGTGACCTGCAACTGTGCCATGGAAACTTACCTACTGAGAACAGGAGCTAGATCAGCACACACTTTCCATGGAAGTCCAGGACCAACTACATGTGCTAGCTACAGTGGCGCTAGGTCACAATGCGAAATTTAGATGCAAAAGGTTGTCTGAGTGCAGAGCTAAAAACAAAGCCTTTTTAACATCATCATTTCTCAAGAAAACTAGTAAAAGAAACGTAATGGCTTACAGCAGTTACAGCCCAACGCAGCGGACCTGAAAAACTACTGAAAGTCAAAGAAAATCCTCTAGCTGTCATCTCAAGTCCTTAAATTCTCACCTGCTCAGGACCCATGGAAGACAACCCTGATGTAGGCACAGAGGTCGCTGAGGTCATGCTGATCTGCCCTGTCATCTGGTTCATGTTGTTCATACCACTTGTGTTGGTTGCCATGGATACACTGATGTTCATGTTATTATTGTACATGCTGGTGCTTGCTTGCTGCCCAAAATGTGGTGGGGACTGTTGTGAAAACATGCTACAGCAAGGAATGGAAAAAGCAATGTGTCAGACTTAGAATGCTGAAGCCACTAAGAAACTACTCTCTTTTTAATATATCTTAAGCTAGAATTTGTACATATTGTCGTTTATGCCAACTTCAAAGGAAAGACTAGTTTTCAGCTACATTAATGTCTAAGGAATAGGTTTTCAAAGTTTAAGGTCCCATGTCTGTGCACAAAAATGCATGCCTTTGCGTGTGAAACTATGGCAGAGTACAAATCTGTTATGCCTGTGCAATAACAGCCAATTAGCTGTCTAAATGTGCTTTGTATATATTTTAAATGTGTTTGGGAAAGTAATTTTTGGAGGGAAAGGAAAACCCCTTTCCAGTGTTAGCACAGCACAGGATTGTTAACTTGGTATTGGATCTGGTCTAATACACCCTCTTTTTGCAGAAGAGGCTATTTGCACATATGAATACCAGATTTGCACATACAATTATGGCAAGTGGGCTCACAAATATAGACATGCGATTGTGCAGAAACTCATTTACTGTATCTTAGCATCAGGTCTTGAAAATGTGGCACTGTAAGAAAGAACATAAAGTCTAAGACAATTACCCTCTATGTTCCTTTAAGGCCATTTCAGAACAACTAACACAGGAGTAACTGTGGAAGATCTCATCCCAGATTTTATTCAAAGTTAAGTGCTTTCTGGATAGTATCTTCCTTCCCGTTATGTCGGAAGTCATATGAGAGACTTTTTTATATTTCCTAAAACACACTGCACTGTTTATGTATCAGTCTTTTCTACTCTTTAAGCATAATCTAACAGTCAATGCAGGAATTATTACTGACAGTGTGTCTGTTTGGAGGATCTGCACTATACTGAAATACTGTGGAAGGGCTGCTGCGTGTCAAATGGCACACAGTAACCACCTCCGAATCAATGGCTGACTTTTACTTCCCTGCAAAGCACTGCTCTGACAGTTGAGGAAATCTTTCAGGGTTAACACTCAACCTTGCACTTGGGTACTCCATTAGGCTATTGCTGTGCACTGTGAGACTTGGTGGAGTGCAATGGCATTCTGGGCACGGGACCAAACTTGGAAAATCCCACCATTCTCTTCCTTCCAATTCCATGTCTTTTCAGGCCACCTAACCCCATTTTTAAGTTGTTATCTGGATGGCTGAAACAGTACACTACAGATCATTGTGAATACTCAGTGGCTTGTGTAAACGCATTTGACGTGTCTCTGCCGTAGAGCTGCAGAGTTTAGCAAGCCAACCATTAATCTTATCGAGCTGACTCTGCTGCCCTTTCAGCAGAAGCCACGACAGCAGTAGCTATGCCTCCTGCAGAAGCTTCAGGAAGACAGCGAGGAAGATGCATGGACAAGGACGAGGATGAGAGATAAATCAGTTCCTTTAAGGGGAACTTGGATCAGCCTCATCACGGAAATACTGTTTTTCTGGGTTTATGAAATCTTTGTCAAGATTAATTGATAAAAAGGGAAAACGATTTGTTGCTGGGCTGGGATAGTAAGGATCAGCCTGAGAACTTCAGGATGACAAAAGCACTGTGCTAGACACAACTGTGTGCACCCCAGTGTCAAGTGACACAGGCTGTACACCAACCTGATAGCTCCTCCTGTCTTCCAGTGAAAAGCACAGATCATTGCCATCTGGAAGCTCCTTGCTGCCTAACGACAACGTTCAACACCCAACCCATTCAATGTGGACAGACTGATTATTAGAGCCACACCGACTGGGGCATGGGCCTCAGCTGTAAAGGTGACTGCATGCATGAGGCATGCTACAATGCTCTTGGAGAATGACAGTTATATGCTGACTTATGCAAGCACTAATGGATTGAACCTGGTTGCACTCCAGCGTGGGAGGTGATATCCAGTCACCACAATTCCAGAGCAGTAGGGAATGCATAGGCTCCGGCTCAGCTGATCCAGCCGTGTGGAAAGCAGCGTGGGAGCACATGAAAATCGTATGCAGAAGAAATGCATCCACACAAACGTTAGGGGCTGGAGCTCACCGTGCAGCAGAGGTGCTTCTTAAGGACACACAGTGTTTTATCAGTTATCACAGACAAAGCAATACATTGTGTGGATGCAGGTCTTTTAGCTATGCACTCACTTTGCCTTGTATGAAGACAGAATTTAAACCAACTCGTCAAGCCAAATTGAAAAGAAATCTCTTTTAGGATGGATAGTTAACAACAAACAAACAAGCAAACAATTACGTATAAACAATCCCATAAATAAGTGTAGACCATAAATAACCCCATTACTCTGTGTGTTCATTTTGATTTTGTTCTGGATTTACCTGTTTCCACCCATATTCCCTTGTGCCCACCCATTCATCTCCGTAGAGGACTGATAGGCAGGATTAGCCTGAGACTGCTGAATCATGGGGCTTTGAGTATGAGCCAGTCTTGGGGACATCAGCGGACTCTGAGGAGTGGTGGCCCCTGTGAAGCCTGGATCGGGCTGCTGACTAATACCTGAAGAAGAAAACAAGAAATTTAGCCACTGTACATTCAAAGTTAAAACAAGTCCAGAGCTCATACTTGCAGACGTGTCTTTACACAATCCTACTTATGTCATGTGGAACCTATAACCTTGTGTCTTAATGTGGGATCTAGATTAAAAGCAAGACATCATCAACTAATACTTATATATAACCTTAAAAAATCATTTTGCGTATGTTGGCTACCTGTGTGTCCTAATCACATAAGCGGTCTCTCCTCTCTGCAGACCAAAAGAAGAACACTGGTAAGTGACTTTTTTTTCAGAAACTGCATTCAAAACAACAAATAAAACATATTGCTTCTGTCTATAAATCCATTTTGGTGAAAGTTATGCATGACCCATTTACTGCATGGCACCACCTTTTAACATTTAGGCTATAATTTTCAACTTTTTCTAAAGTTCCTAGAACCTTAGTATTTCTATTTCTGTGTCCCTGCAAAAACAGGCAATGACATTTTGTGCAAGCATGTAATGACTTTGTAAAATAAAAAAAATATCTAGATGGAAAGAAAACCTAATTTAAGCTGTTATATGCCAATTGTGTGCAGAAATTTTGTTTTAAGCCAAGTCATTTTAGTCTTAAGTTCATCACGAACAGCATATTCAACAGAAACAAGCCACCCTTAATGCTGGTGTAAGAATCAGGTGGTATGAAATATATTTTTACATTCACTGCCTGCATGACTTAACTTCTCACTGGTGTAAAGGACAACAGATCAATAAGAGTAGATAGCAAATTTAGAATTAGATGGACATAATTTGCTGTATCAGCAGAACTTGCACATTACGTATTATTTAATATACTTGTAATATAACTTATACAATACTTATAAATAAAATAAAGAAGCTGTATAACAATAACTGTATGGAGGTAACTGCCCCATGCACCCCCAGAACAGAGCAGTATACAGCTTTGTAAAACATACAGACGAAATGGTATTAGCTATCATATTACACACAAGTTTAAGGAGAGGGAAGGGAATACCTAATCTGAAACAAATTTTATTATTTAAACTCAATAGTTAGTTGCTAATTTTATATTCTAATGCACACACGAAGAATTATCTTTTTGGGGGAAGAATCTACCTGATACTTAAGCAATATCTCATTACCAAAATGCAAAAAATCCCCACCAATATAAAAATGATTTAAAAGGATTATGTACAGCTTTGCTTCTGATGACCTCATGCCGTTTGCCAGCATCAATTCATATCATCTTCTTCATTTGCACTTTTTACTGTATATATTGTTTGTTGAGTGTAGTCAAAATTCAGAGTCCATCAAGCCAATACATACACATATACATGTTCCTGTGTGCATACACATTTGTATGTGTTTGTAAGTATAGATGTATGGAAACACACACATCACACTTCTGCTATTGCTCAAAAAAAGAGCAGCGCTCAGAGAATGCGTGGTACTAGAGCTAGGAAAGTGGAAGGTACCATGTCACATTTGAGGACCTCCAAGGGGCCTGAAGCTCCACGTTTCCTATCGTTCCCAGGCAAGGGGCTGTGGAGGGGGGCTTGGACCCAGCACGGGGGAGGACACGGGGCAGTAAGGACTGCCAAAATGCACTGGGGGGGTGGAACCAGTACCGTAGTTTGGAGGAAATGGAAACTGCTGTGCATTTGCCTGCGGGATCCGCGGATTGCTCATGGTTGCTGGTATGCCACCGGCGGCCACCATGCTGGGGGTCATGCTCAAGCCCTGCCCTCGCATCATCAACGTCCGCTGCTGCACCTGCTGCTGCTGCTGCTGCATCTGCCGCTGCCGCAGGTGCTGGCTCAGGATCTCCCGCTGCCTCTGCGCCAGCATCTGCGCGTTGATAGGGCCCTGCAGGGAAAACCACCGCCACCTATCAATAACCCCTTCTAAGGCAACCTGACCAGTGGAGGCATCTCCACTGGAGCAATCTGGAAGATTCCAGCTCTTTTCTTTCCCCCACCACACAACTAACAATAATATTAAACAGGAGAAAATAATCCTATTAATACTTCTGCTGGGAAAGACTTCCAACAGCGCAAGAGTCAGTAATTGAAATAATACCAGTGTTGCATGTTGCAGCAATTTGTAATTGCAAATAGAGTAGCTCATTAAAAAAATGAGGAAGCTTGGTTCAGGAAATGAGAAGCTTGGTTAAAAATGCAGTTATATCATATCTCTAGTAAACAACCATCCACCCCATGTAAATATGGGAAAGACTCTCAGAAGTAAAACAGTAAAATATTTCTTATCCTACAGACTGCATTATTTGTATTCAAGCTTTAGAATTTATTGTATGTATTTTCCACATAGCATTACTACTGTATTTAATTGGGGGAGAAAGAAGAAAACAAAGTGATATTTTTTTTTTTTAAAGCACTGTTTCTCTCACCTGTGTTGGCACTCCAGGTCTCAAAGAGAGATTCATATTGGAGACACTGCTGATCTGATTTATCAGTGGCTGCCGATTCTAAAGAAAAAAAAAAACACCCCAACACCAAAACCAGAAGTTTTTAGAAAGAAAACAAGAAAAGGGAAATTTTATAGATAGACGTATACACATCTACTTCCCGATCAGTTGATTTGAGGACCTAGTTTCACATATTCAAGCAGGGACTAGTTTTCCTGCTAAAGTCCTATTATCCTTCACAGAATCCTGTTTCTTAAGGAGATAATACACCATACAAAAAACAATACAGGCATTAAGGTGTTTACCAAACATGCTTCCTTCACAGTTCCTGTCCTTTTTGAGTTTGGGACTGGACTGTTGAGGTTTACTCTGAATTAGACCCTATCCTGATGTTTGAAGGCAGAAATGATCCTTCCTCCTCCGCATTAATATCTTATTTATAGTACCATGAACCTATATATTTAAAAATTAACAAAACCCATCAACTTAAAACGATCCTCAAAAGTAGACCAAGGCCAAGGGAAAAAAAAGGATGGAGTTAAGAGGTAGCAATAAAAGCATTTAGATGCTGGAAGAGTCAAGATATAACAAACAGAAAAAGGCTTACATAACAAAAAGCACCACTGTAGCATTGTTCAAAGAATTAGTGAGACCTAGGCTTAAATACTAGGCACATTCTTGCACAGTATTATAGAAAGAATACCGGAAAGATGCAAAAAAAGATCAAAAAAGAGAAGGCGCTAGGTACTGTCTCTGAAAACTCATTATGGCTAGTGTTTTCAGTTTAGAAGCGGAATGGGGCTATAATAGAACAGGGTACACACTTAAGACTTGGTCTATTCGGAGCAAGCTGAGAGTCAGTAGGTGCTGCCTCGGAGAGGTGCCTGCGCCAGCGTGAAACCGGGCACGGAAGGGATGTCCCTGCTGTGCCTGGAGCCTGTGCTGCAGCTGGAGCCGCAGCTGGTTGGGCTGGTTCTGCACGATGCCGGCGGGCCGGAGGCCGGGCCGGGGCTGCATGCGCAGGGCTGCGTACCCCGGGCGCTGCCCCATGGGGTGGAAGCTGGGGTCCTGCATGGGCGCGTAGCTGCCCTGCGCCATCTGAGCCTGCGCCGCGTACTGCTGGGAGAACACCGGAGCCTTCTGCTCCATCAGGATGCTCGACTCCTGGCTGGGGAAAGTCTCTGGGTCGACAGCTTGGCTCTGCAGAAGTACGTGAACAACAGAGACAGTTGGCAGGACATGGCTTTTCACAGGATTGTACGAGACTAATACAGCCACCCTGCAAAACCAACCTTCTAGGCTGTGAATGTTTCTAAACAGAAAATTATATAAATTTTCTTTACCTACATATAAAACTTAAAAATAAACAGAATTGTATTTTTGAGTGTCAAAACATATTCATGGAGACAATTCCTCCTCTCTTTTCTTTTTTTTTTTAAAAACAAAGACCCACAATTTTTGTCATGTTCTTAACATAGCCATTGTATCATTCTGCTAATGAATAACAACCTGAAATGACAAATGCTGTAAGAAAAGCTGTAAATGAAGTGATGCCAGCATATTTTTGCCATTGAATCCGAGATAAATTCAAAGATGTTACAAATGAATAAGGATGAGAAAGTAGATTTTTATCAGTATCTTTAAACAAAATAACGACTTCAAATAAAGATGCCTGAAAGTATTACATAAGCGAATGTGAACAGAGTCCCTAATTCTTTCAGGACACTTTCGCACAAACTGATTATCTATTAGCATAAGAAAGCTAACATGATTCTAAACTCCATTCTAGATACTCCCCTAATATTTGCTCTAGCCAGAATAATTTTATAGCTTATTCCACACTGACCTTGGAAATCAAGTTAATCTAAATTTCAGTGCCCTCATGAAAGGAAGACTTTTAAGCTCCTATAAAATGTTTGATGGATATTTTAAAAACATTTTCTAAAATGCAACAGTTCTCTTATCTGCAAAATTCTTTAACTGTTTCCACTGAGATATTAATAAAATAGAAAGATATTTACCACTTAGTTTGAAATAAAACATTATTCATATTTTTTTGGTGGTGGTACTCCAAAAACTATGTCATAGGTCATGAAAGTTTCACACTGCAAAATTGTAGTTCACCAATAAATTTTATCTCCAGCTTAACACCTCACTGAGTTCTGTGTTGAACCAAATAGGCTTGGAGATAGTTTTCTCATGTCCAAAGCAGGATTACATTGGTCCTATTTCATATCTAAAATGAAGAGCTAGTTCAGAAGTTATGCTCAGGACTCTGATGAGTGCTGGGAAATGAAATAGGTATTCTAGGCTCGTCTAAGAATATTAAATCATTATAGAGACATGTACAGCTGTTTTTGGAAATACAATTTTGATGCCAGAAACATCAAGCGCTAACTTTTCCCCCCCGATTATTTTTTTTTAACCACACTTTTTTGCATCATATAAATGGACAATGAAATGGACAAGAACCAACTGGAAGCTAATAAAAAATAACTGTGGGGAAAAAAATGGATGAAAAAGAATAGAACAAATTCATGCTGCAAAGTTTAGGAAGCATGTTTCTAATTTAAAAAAACCCTACAGTTTTAAGTGCTTGGAATGAAATCAGCTGCTTCAGGTAAAACTCGTCCCTTAACACACATAAATCAACTATGGGAAAAACTGTGGGTGAAATTACACGTTACAGGTTTGCTCATCCAAAAGCTTGTTGCCCCCATCACACAAAAGTCTTGATCTTGCTCCTCTGCTCCTAGGTCTTCATATTCTTTTTTTTCTTCTCTCCTATACCCTGCTGCTGGCCGTGTTCTTACTTTTCTCCCATACAGTTGTTCCTCTGACCACCAGATAAGCAGAAGCCTGTTAATTTTTTGGTTTAGGTCAGGTTAGTTGCATAAAGCGAAGTGGCTCAGCACAGGTCAGAAGAAGGAGAGCTAGGTGAGGGTGGCAGGGAAGAGGATGGAAGGCTAAACCTGGGGCTGAAGGAAGGTTTTCAGGTGACACTGAGCCGTTAGATGGAATCCCACCAAAATATGTAACTCCATCCTAGCTTGTAAGAAGTGTTTTATAATCCTCTTCTTCAACACACTTTCCACCTCCATCTTGACAACACACCCTTTAAATGTAATATCTAAAACATGCAATGCAATGTCCAGTATACCTGGCTAACTAGTTCTGGTATCCCGAGAGCCCTGTCAATTTCTTCTAAACCATCAAAATTCCTTAATGCCATGTAAAGCTGATCCAGGAGAGCACCCTCATCACTTGGTGACTCTGATGAAGGATGATTACACAAGAGATCATCTGGTGAGCTGCCAAACGGTTGCCTGTGAAAACATGAACACAGCGTTGGTAAACAGCTGCTGAAAAACAAGAAATAATATCAGAGGATTAGTACGCAAATTGAACTAACAAGTGGAGACGGAAATTATTTTAATCGCTGCCAATTTTGTTTAGAAAACTACTCTGGATGAAAGTTATGCTGCCTAAAGAAATAACTAAATAGCACGATTAATGCCTGTCAAGACCCTACAAGCACGGTGTATCCGACAAGTAAGCAAGCACACCAAAGGTACGCTGGAGTGCTGATTTCATATTACAGGTACAGCAGAGGAACAGAGAAGTCAGTATAAAATATTGTCACTGAACACAGAAGGTTAAATAATTTTTTAAAAACTGATTGTAACTTTGAATTTTAGACATTAGATTAACTATACTATCACAAGTAGAAGAACAACTCATTTCCACAGACACTCTTCTTAACTGGTTTTCTATCAGACTAAGCAAGCCAAAGAGGTCACAGAGGGGTCTGAGGATTGTCTGAGCTCGCACAAACCGAACACCTGGAAAAGCCGGCCAGAAGCACGGGGGAGCAGGGAGAAAAGGACATTCCCCTTTTTGTTTGCAGCAAAACACTGCATCAGCTCAACCCATCTTATGGAATTGCACACTTGGGTACCCGTTTATGCACTTGTTATGTGCCTCAGAAGGGTGTCAGCAAGAATTTGGATACTGTCAGGCAGAGTGTGCTGGCTCTATAAATCCTGCTTACCTCACCCCTGAATTTGTATGCAGAGCACACTCACAGTTACAAAAGCAGAATAAAGGTTTATTCCAAACCCAAAGGACAAAACTTACCGAGAAACAAACTAAATCTGAAATAACACCTTATCTGTAGCCAAATGACATATTTTCGTTTTGCAGTTCACACACAAGCCCTACTTCATGCACAATACTACAAGACTACAATAGAAAATACAAAGAGCAAAGCATTCTGCAAGCAAGGGCAGCTACTATATGCACATCATGGCAGAATCTCATCCCAGATAATTGCTCAGAGAAAACAAAAGCTGTCACACATGGAAGCAGGAAACAGCACTATATGTGAATCCTTTTTAGAGGTCTGTTTGGAAAAAAAAAGAAACGTGTTTGTGTATTTAGTTTCCATAATGAGATATATGGTTGCCATGGAAGTCTAATCTCTATGTCAAAGCTAAGCAGAAGGAAAGAGCTGCATCGTCAGGCTATACACCTAAAAACCCAAAGGATGGCAAGCAGGAAAATTAACAGAAACATATTCTTTTTAATTAGATCCTGGACTGTAAAAAATAAAAATAAGGATATATATGATGTACCTTTAAAACATCACAAAGTATTAATCAATCTCAGAAACAGAGAAAGTTTCTATAACTCTCACAGGTGGAATTATAAATCAGTAAAACGGGAAGAGCAAAAAAAAAAAACTTTGAATCAAATTGCCTGCAAACTTTAAAAATTACTTATAAGAAGGGATCTATCATCTGGAAAAATAATCGATGGGGCTAGCCAAAACACGTCCCTCAAATTGTAAATGGGCATGAATACATATGGTAAGAAAAAGTTTAAAACCTTTGTCAAATTCTGTATGTTGAACAATGACAATTGCTTTGTTTTTTTCCCCATTTCTTTTATATACCACAGTGATAATGTTTAATTTTTCTCTAAAAGAATTATTTTTACTCATGATTTAACTTTTTCGAATTTAATACTCATGTTGATAACCAGATAATAAAAATACAAATCCCAGGGGTTAATAAAATAAGAAATGGCAGCACCAAACAATTCATCATCTCTGTTTGGATGTAAATGATCAAAATATGATTACTTTCAGATGCAACACAATGGGAATTTTCTTCCCCGTCTTCAGCTACAAGGAAATTATGAGAAATGCAAAGGTAACAAAATGGAAGAACTATCTGCCTGGCTTGCTGACCAAACATGGCCCTGTATTTTGTTTTACGGTGTCACTTTTTAAGTGAATAATTAAGTTACGCAAACAGTGCTTTTGGCATATGGACACCCTGATTGGGAGAGAATTAGCATCAGGAAACATATTGAAAAGCATGAAAAAGTTAGAAAAGTAACAGAGAAAATACCACACTTAAATTTACAGATAATCTTTTTGGACATCCTTTCATAATGAAAATTTAGAGAATGTAGTCAGAAGATTAATCTTTCTTCAAACACACTTTTTCCCAACTGCTTCCTCTTCATTTTCTTTTCAGCACTCCTCCCATTTACTACTGAAAAATATCCCAACTCATGCAATTCAAAATATTTCAACATTTCTCCTTTATCTGTCCATTCTGTATCACTTATACACTCCATATATATATAGTTTCTCTAATTTAAGCTGCAAACTTTTTGGAGAAGACATGCCTTTTTAAGGAAGTGTAAATTGCTTTTCATAGTTACGGTATTATTTAAGTGTCTTAATAATGAACAAAGTTAATATATTACATATGAGTTAATAACTTGTGATCAAACTGTGGTTCTGGATACCCGAGAAGGAGCTAGCTTCAGGGAAGAGGCAGCCTCTGTTTCACTTCATCTTTCCTTCCTCACCTTTTACAGAATTTAGGTCAATTAAAAAAACCCAAACAAAACAGAAATTAACGATGTCCTGCACTACTTAAACGCCACCCCATTGCAGGAAAAGACAGCTATGTTATAACTACAAAGGCTCTGGCATTTTTCCACGTTTAGTGTTAAGTGTAATTGTTAACAGTAAAACCAGCAAAACCAGACAGAATCATAATAAAAGATTATCTGTAATGCTCAAGAGGTGAAAATGGTGCAACTACCTAAAGCACTGGCAGCGTTCACTGTGATACAGAACTTCCAATTCTTCCAACACATTAAATGGCAAAGAGAGCATTTATAAGTAGTACTAGAACATGTATACATTGCACAAGTATAAAATACTACAAGCATTAAATTGATATATGTTTGGTGAGTATTTTACATAGGGCTTTTTTTCCATGAGGCGTATACAATACGGGCCTGTAAAATCTCTCCATGTTTTGATGCGACAGTAAGACTCACCTGTTCTGACTACCAAAAGTTGCCTGATCTATAGGCAAGATGCTGTCTGGCCATGGTGCAGTCTGATTTGGAGGTGCCTGCTGTTGGCTATACTGAGGTCCTCCTATGTTCATCTCCAATTCGGATGGCCCTAATCAAGGAAAAATAACCACATAACTTTTGTGAAAAGAATCTACTTCCATGTTAATTCTTTCCATTGAATTATCTTCGTTACAGTAAAAGCAAACAAAAACATTAAGAATTCAGTAACATTATACTTCAAAGCACCATGATTTTTTTGTTAAAAATTGCTTTTAAAATTTGAGAAAACAACATGAGAACTTGAAAGTGGTTCAAAACCACAAAACAGGCGATACGACACCACAGATGCAAAAATTAGTAAGGTAAGCATAAAAAAAAGACAGCATATAGAGTCAATATAATAATGTACTTGCTTTAAAAGTGACTAAGAACAATGATAATGGTCCCAGCATTTCCTCTTAAAAACCCCCAGAGTCATTAATAAACAAGAGCAACTTCATATACTCTTTCTTTGGCCACACCACTGTGGAGCTACAGAGTAGCAGGAATAGTTCATATCAATATACGCGTTAGAAGTTAGTGTTTTACACACCTTCCTTCCCACTTCCTCAGGCAACTTTCACTGTGGAATATAGTTCTCATCAAATCCGTAATTGAAGTGAGTCTTTTTTTTCTTTTTTGTTTTTTTCCTCCCTCATCTTTGGCAATTGAGCATATGCCAAAAAAGCACATCTCCACACACGCCCTTACTTACCCATATTCATGACCTGAGATGGAAGCATCTGCCTTGGGCCAGGCTGGTTGCTGGGTCTCAAGGGGATGCTGGCCGTGGGGTTGCGGATCATGCCTGCTTGCACCGGCCTGTTCATGGCACTAGCTGTGGGCGCGCAGGTCACCCTCACAGCAGGAGCCTGGCTTCCCCAATCTCCAGATGCCATGGCAGGCCGAGGCGCATTGCCACTGATCATTCCTGCACAAGAGCCAAACAGACTTAGGTGCCGGCACATGATTCAGAACAGCTTTAGCATTATAACTGCCTGATGAGCTACATTTTTAGCAAAGAAAATGCAGTAGTTTCACTCAAAGCACATTGTACCACAACTGGCTGCCCAGATGTGCAAAGCTACAGAATGATGCCTGACGCTGCTTAGTCAAGGGACTGGAGATTATTATACATTTTACATGAGGAAGATCCTTTTATCATTTCCGAAACGCTGTTCAGAGTAAATGTTCCCACGTGTAGTCTGCAACAGGTGCCGAGGGTGTGTGGATAGCCCTAACTTCCTTCCTCAGGAAATGAATCACGTTTGCTGATGTGTGTGTCAGTGCTTTACTTTCCAAGTGCTAAGTGAGAATGAAGACTTGAGTAACAACATGTTATTGCTACACACACTTACAATTTAGAAGGATTAAATTTAAATTCGCATTCTGCAAACATCTTTTGGCAAGTGCTTTTATTCAGAACCTAGAGCCTTCTTAGCTTCAAGGCTCACCCAGATAATTTCAAACCAATGTATGGTGCAGGGAAATTACTCACAGGAACTTTCCGATAGATGCTAAAGTTCATTACCGTTATTTTAGGGGAAGTCCTCCTACATCTACTGTAAACAACTGATACAGTTTATTTACACTTGGAATATACAGAGTACTACACTCTGACAGTAGCCAAAAAAACCCAACCGAACCCCAACACAAAAACCCCCAAAACCCGAAGACATGCATTCATAGTATTTATACACTTCAATTTTATACAGTCAAACGAGCAGATAAAACACTGATTTCAGATTGGACTACTGGTCTCTCCAGTTGCATTTTGCAACATCCTTAAATGAATACTAAAAGCCACACAAATAATTATTACTCATCAGTTCAATTACTTGGTGATATATAACCAAGGATGAAAACCCTTTGAAGAGGGTCATTGTTTCAGCTGCTGTACAAAATTTGCTTCAGTGTTACATCCTCAGTTTTGTTTTATTTGTGTACATATTCTATCAGCTGAAATATGTGATGTGCTAGAGCAAATGGCAGGAACACAGATAATACTCTCTAACTTGTATACATAAGATGAATAACATCCTCTAATATGTATACAGAACATGAAAGTAATAGGACGCTTGAAAGACTACAAGTTGACCTCTAATCTGCTTAAATAGGATCTTTCAGTGTCTGGCAGCATGTCTTTTGTGATACTGATGCAAACTAAATATAAAATTTTGACAGTAAATATAGACAGCTGAAAGGACTTACAATATCCATTTATTTACTCAGAGTTCTTAGCGGTTGTTGCACACTTGGACAGTCTTGAAATAAGACAATCAGCCAGACTTTTCTTGTGACACGCCCCCCCCCCGGTATCTTTGTACAATATTAGGGCAACATGAAGAAATCAATGCACCGTAGATCATGCATCATCCATGACAAGAGGTTATACCACTGCAACATCTGATGGTCCCCAAAAGGTTTATGTTTCAGAAAATTATGAAAACATTAGCATTTCTTTAATTTAAAATGAGAATTAAGGCTAATAAATAAAGGCTAACCGAGGGCAAAACCAAGGACTGTAGAGATACACATCATAAGGGCAACAGTATTGCCCACAATTTTGTTTTGAAAGAACTACCTCTACAGAGAAGTGGTTCATTTATTTGCTTTTTTGAGGCAGAAAGATTGGATCTTTACCTATCTAAGCCTCAGCTGAATCTGGAACATTGATGTGAACAGACTCTAACTGCCAATACAATGTGTTCATCTAGAAATTTTCAGGTAGGTGAAAAGCAGTGCATAAAGAGCAGGACTAAAAATATGCAGAAACAGCAGTCCAAAATAAATATGCCAATACATAGCAGCCCATAAAACATGATTTTTTCCAGTCTTTTTGGAAAGTACTTACAATAAAGCCTTGTAATAAGGCTTTGTACTTGTAATAAGCCCAACATTAAGTTACACATGCTATAGTCTGTATATTTAAAAACATGGAAAGTCATCTTACCTGTGCTACTGTTGCCTAAAGTTCCTTGGCTTCCTATCATCCCTTCATTCCTGCCCATCAGTCCCGGCTGAGGTATCACTGAATAGGGGCTACTCGTTCTGATGGGTGGGAAAGTTCCTGCACCTGTTGGGTTCTGCAGTGTGATGTCAAGTGGTAAATTCTGGTTTGGTAATAACCTGCCCAGTTGCCCTGCTCGTGGGTTATTAAAAGCTAGACAGGAGGAGCAAAGAAAAAAAGCAAAGTTACAAGAATGGAAACTTTACTTGTTAAAAAAAAAAAAAAAAGAACCCAAATACACTTTAAGCTCTTGGGCTGAGCTATTTAATGCTGCATAATTTACCCACTCCATATGTGTCTGAGAAACATCCCTTCTTGACATTTTTATGTAAATTTCCAAATGGAACATTCTGACATATCATACAGATATGACTTGTATTTTTAAAACTTTAAGTGTAAATTTCCAAATGGAACATTCTGACACTAAACCAGATATGACTTGTATTTTTAAAACTTTAAATGATGCAATTTAACTTACAGGAGAGTCACTACAGCAAAATATACCACTATGTGATGTGCATACTACTGCCAATTAATCTTATACCTAGGAGGACTGTAATTGCATGCAGATGTCATCTTGAGGCAGATTGTTAGGAATTATCTCCATTTTGAAAGTTTTCCAGCATAAGCTGTGCCCCTGAAGAAGTTACCAAAATTAAGGACAGATTGAGTCTCTATCAGATCCTGTAGCCCCATTTCTACATCCCCCTCCTAAATTTTTTTTACTTTTTTTTCCATTAATAAAATAAATTCTTCTATGATTCAGCAACAACAAATAAGCGGTCCAGAATTAGAGCTGTGACACCGTAATATTCTGATAAACAGAACCATGCCTGATCACTACTGTCACCTTTATATAACTATTTTCTTCTGTTGAGGTGTTTTGTGCTCTTAAAATCAGCCTCTGCAAAGAAAACTGCAGACTGTCTCAGAAAAGTGAGCTTGAGACCTTGACCAGCAAGCGTTTGGCTCAGCTGGTGTTTGGGCAATGTTCCAATGCCTGAAAGCATCCCCTATATGCACAACTAGTTCTCAAACATGAATCAAACACTGACCTTGTGCCTATGATTCCATTTCCAATCATACCAACAAAATACATACAAATAAATTATCCACTTTTGTGAAATTATTATTTGCAATACTTCCTGACAGCTTCCCCTAGGAAAGTCTCTTGATGTAACGGCATCCTTAAAGCGACTTCTGCGTTTTCACATTCACCACCTTACAAAGAAGTTAAAGAACTTCTTTCTTATTTTATATCAAAGTAGTGATACTTTTGAATTTGAGAACTTAGATGAGGTTTATTAAGCTTTTTAAAAAGTACAGAAACATCTTATTACAAAGGTCTCTGACTTTTCTTCTTATTTTATAAAATCAGACTACAGAAACTCATTGTATTTATTTATTTTTTCAATATAAGTTCTCTGCCACGTGAATTTGCTTATATGCGTGTATAGGAAATACATCACATCACATACACCGAATTCCTAACCATGAGATCGAAATTTTGTCTTGACTGTCTGTTCAAACAAGCAAACAAAACTTACTTATGAGACAAAAATAACCTTCCCAAGCTTGGGGGCATCATAAAGTCTAAGGATTGAACCAAAACCGAACTTCAGTGACAGTTTCAGAAGAGTTTGCCCCAGAAGTTTGAAAAATCACATAGATGAGTAAGTTATTATATGGGTAGCTTTGGCAGCACCCACTGATCCTACAAAAAGGAAAGCTGGAAATGCAGCACAAAATAACAACACAGTTGATGAGATGTGGTGGTGCTCAGATCACATATTCTATTCTTGGTTAGGATGGGACTGAAGGAGGCTCCCTGTCCCCCATGCAACAAATTCTAGCAATTTGGCAAATCTAGCAGCTTTCAAGTCTTTTTTTTTTTTTTTTTAAACAGATAAAAATATTTTAAGCATTTTCATGTAAAACCTGTAAAATGAAAGCTGATTATTTCTTCAGAAAAAAAAATTTAAAATCCCAAACCTCTTTTGGAATTGTCTATGATTTGACATTCATTCTACATTACTTCTGTGTATGAGAATGACCATATGAGAAGCCACTCACTATTTCTGTGCACCTGTTTTCTGTATGCTCTTCTACCGAAAACAAGGCTGAAGTTCCCTAAGGGAATCAGGCACAGACACAAGACTGAGCTGGGGGAAAAAGTTTTAGGGTTTTAATTTACATGGGAAACAGGATGCTGCTTTTACAGAACTGCTGCTAACCACCAAGACACTCTCATTTACAATCATACTGTTACTGTATTGCCGGTAGCTTTGAAAGCAGATTTAAAGCCAGGTTAACTCTGGAAAGCCAAAAGGCTACAGTGGAAGGAACCAGCAGACCTTGCTTCAGAAAGAATATGCTAAAGATTTCAGATGCACAGAGATTTCTTTCTGACTTACGTGCTGCTGCTGCTGCTAATACCCCCATACTTACAAAAATGAGTACATTCAATCCATGCATCTTTCTCTGAGCAACACTGATAACAAATGATAATTTAAGGATCTGTAGTGGTTTTAATATTAATTTAAACATTAATATTTATTATTAATAGTAGTATTAATATTTATTTAAACATTTCTAAGTAGTAATCTGAGTTCACTTGAAAGTGGCACGGTGTTATTTTAATATCATCAGAATGGCTAAAAATATTATCTAAGCCCTATGTTTTATAAAAAAAACCTCCAGAGTAATTTAAGGAAGTAAACAGATGCTGCCATCCTAGCACACAGGAGAAAAAAATGAAGCAGTGGCTTTTTATGCTATTTTGTTCAACATTCGTAGCTGATAAGTCTTCTGTCTTGCTCGCTTTCCACTATTCTATGGTGGTAGACCAACATTTCAATGCTGAATTGTAAGTTAATTAATAAAGTTAAGGAACACTGTCAGCTGGAAGTGACTCAATTAAAAGCCACAATTTCAAATGAAACTTGGGCATTCCTCTTAATCATACATCTTTCTATTAATCTTGTGGTTTTAGAAGATGACTCTCCTTCACGCTTAGAAAAGCCTCTGTTGTCCCTTTTACTGAAAGAGCTGCTGGAAAGGAGCGATCTGCATCGGAACAAAATGCATGTGCCCTCCGTGCCAAAGCCCCCGCAACAGCAGCATCACCTATAACCACAGCAGGGGACATTTCATTTGTTTTGAGGGTACCCCTTAAAACTTGTCAGAGGGCACGGACTTCCAGGGTGCTGAGTGAGTTAGACATAACCGCCACATGTCTTTCAAAATGGGACGACCGCAGATGGCGCTATGTCATCACGTAAGACCAGACCAGGACGAGGAGCTGCCCGGTTCCTCCCCAGCCAAACCCAGGGGCACCACGATCGCCGCTTTGGGGGTTCGCAAGCTTTGCCTACACGCGTGTGGAAGGTGGACTCACTGCTCTGTGAAATCCTCATTGCTGGTTTCTGGGTGGCCACAGCCGCGCCGGGGCTGTTGTCACTGGTGAGCTGCATGAGGTCATTGATGATGGCTTGCTTGTCGACCGAGCCCGCTGGCGCGCCTGGGCGGCTATCTGGGAAAAGCTGCGGTAACTGGCTGTTCTGCAGGTCATCCAGAATCTCCTCCAAGTTATCCAATTCACTGCCTGGCTGCAATAAAAAAAAACACAAACCCACAGTACACTTCACTGCTCGCCGGCTGTCGGCGTCCTGCTCGCGCCGAGCCAGGCAGCCCGCAACTGTTACGCCTGCACTGGCTTGGGATGCTTCCTGCATGAAGCCCTATGTAAGGAAGCTCACAAAGCTGTCGAAAAGGCACTGTGTAGGCTTCCCAGGGCTCGTCTGCATCGCGTTTAGGCAGCCCGGTGTGGCACTGGCACCCCTTCAAAACCCCGGCATTGGGACGTACAAACAGCCACACGATCTGTACCTCGGGCAAAGGGGAGATCTTCCCTGTGCATGCTGTGACCGGTGCAGACAGCAGGGATAATTTAGCAGGGGAAGAGATCCAACAGTGATGAAGATGGGGGTTTATGTAGGTATAACCAATATTCCTTTCAGCACAGTCATATTTCTAGTCTCTTTATGACTTGATTAAAAGCATATGATGGAAAAGTTGCTTCATGGCTAAAACAATTCCCCATATGCATTTTCTTTGTTACATTCAAAAACTTAGCACTGAATAACTCTATATAAAGTTAACTGGCAAGAAATACACATTTCAGTGAAGTTCTATAAATTAAAACCTGTCAACTAGTTACTAGATTTAGGAATATATTTTGCTCACAACTTCCCAAATCAGTGAAAATAACTTCTCTACACTAAGGAAAAAAAGGAGAAATCTAGTTACATTCAATTCAGTAAGAAACTTACCATGAAACAAAGATGGGGAAAAAATTAAGTTCATCCTATACTAACACAAATACTGACCTGCATGTTTTCCTTGCAAATGTTGATTTTCACCAGTATTTTTTTTTTTGGTCTGTCTATAAACCTCAGAATTAAATTTTTTTTCTGACTGAAATTTGGAAATTATTACAAGTATATTCTCCACTCCTAAACCTGTAAATAGGGCAAAATTCTTTTGGGTAATAATTACCAACAGGGAGTCCAGTCTCAGCTACCACCAAGTTGCACAGGAAACATTTCATGACAGTATTTATAACAAAAACCTACTCAAAATCAGCGCCTTCATTAGGAAATGTGCAATGACGGCAGAGAGGCAGAGAGTGAGCAGCCAGCTGTGAAGGATGGGGAACCGAGAAATAACACCACAAACACGCACACAACTGAAACACAATTCTTCCTGTTCTTTTTTTTTTTGTCCTACTGCCACATCGTGAACTTGTTACTTATTGAGCGCAAGCTTACACCGCAGATCACAGGATAATGTAGAAATACTTGAGATGGCTTTAAACTACCTACCGAGGCTCTCGCAGCCTAGCTAGGAAGCACTGCACATTAGTCTGTACTAACCTCCTGCTGCCACAGCTCACCTGCTCCTGGGAAGCCCAGCTATTTTACTGAAAGGGAGCTAAGATGCCTCGAGGTTACATCTCTACATACCTTTTTTGGATGACTGACTGCAGATAAACACGGTATTACTCTTTACTCCTTCCACATCACCTCCTAGTCTTACAGATTGGAATGCATAGTGCAAAAGAGGAAGGAGTTTACTCCGTTAAAAGGCAGCATGTGGGTGATCTGGAGGCTGGTGTTATTGGCAAAATGGCAGGAAATCACAGAATCAGAAGACTGGAAGGAATGTAAAGCCTCGAGGCAAAATCAGCGTATGCCATTCCCTACAGAAGTTCATATAGCCTCTTGTTAAAGACATCCACTAACAGAAAATCCACAGCTTCCCCAGGGAATTGGTTTCAGCACTCTGCCATCCTTCCTATTTGAGTTTTTTTCCTCAGTGTCAATGCAAAATCTCCCTCACTGAAATTTAGGCCCTTCCTTCCCGTTGTATTTTGAATCTGGGGAACAAATTGTGTTGCCCTTTCTTTTTCTAACCCTTTCTGTATTTGAAAACATGTGCCTTTTTTGTTTTTAAGCTGAAGTTAATAAGCAATCTCAACTTGTGGAATTTTCTTCAGCATATAACCTGTTTTCTAGACCTCTCATTACTCTTGCTGCTCCTGTGGACTGTCTTCAGTTGATCCACACCTTTGTGAAGTGCCATGTCCAGAACTTCAGATGCCAGGACTTAAGATGAAGCCTTACAACTGCTGAATAAAGCAGAAAATTTACTCTACACATAGTACACTCTGATGGCATATTCCAGAAAAGCCTGTGATTTTTTTAATTACATGACATTACTGACTCTCACTCATCTTGTGCTCACTGCGATCCCTAGACACAGCTCTAGAAAAGTCCTATCTAGCTAGTTGCTCCCTCCTTTTTTTTTAAAGTCATTATTCTTGACTAATTACAATAAATAACATTTGTTCATCCTGAATGTTCTCCTAAGATTTCTCCTCCCTATTTCCTGGTTGCAGCTGCATTTGAATTCTGTCCGCCAGTGTATTTGCAGACATTCAAGTGTCACACGCAGCTTTACCAAGCGTACGCTCTATTCTTTCATTGGGTCATTTAAGTTAACTAAAACACTGAGCAGCTCTAGATGCTGTACGAGCTCCTGCAGCACCTCCATTTTGGCAGTGAATCCTTAAATAACTACTTTGTGTGTAAGGATTTCCAAACAGCTTCCTACCCACTCACAGCAGTTTCGTCTTGACCATGCATTCTAATCTGCTTACGAAAATGCGACGTGTAAGAGTGCCAAAGAGCCTTACTCAAACCAAGACGCATGGCACACGCTGCTTCCCTTATGCCAAAAAGCCCACTACCCTCTTGCAGAAGGAAAACAGGTTGGTCCGACATTACCTCCTCTTGAGAAATCCCGCTGCTGACTTGCTGCCTTCAAGGCACTCACAAGCAGCTGGGTGGACACAGCACACCCACAGAAAAGGTAGAGCCAGGAGAAATCAAATGTGATTATAGGAAGCCTAAATCATTGTGCGGACAGGTGATAAGCAGATTCAAAAAGGCACTGCAAGAGACAGTTGTGAGCGATGTTTCTAGGAGCCGCGTTTTGAGCACTGGGAGATCTGGTACAAGAAGACTGCAAGAGCCGGTAGAGGAGACTGATGTAGAGTATCATAAATTACAGAGGGATGATTCAGTACTCTTTGGGGGAATTAAGACATATGGCCTTCATTAAACATATTTGAGATAACAGTGAAGGGAAGTTTTATATGTTACAGGGGGTTTTTTTGTTTGGTTTTGTGCAGGACTTTGTGTCTTTTTTTCTTTTTTTTAACATTCTGGCTACTGCAATTCTTTGTTTAAACATCAGATGTAAAAAAATAACCAAACCCAAAACAAAGCCACAGAAGAACATATTGATCCAAATGTGTCAGAAAACTGCACTCCCCAGGATGCTTTTAATTCCTCTCAGGAAGCGGCAAAGAAAGGCCAAAAACAACAGATGTATTATAACAACACAAATACATAACCTTCCTTTTTTTGCTTAGCATAATCAATATCAAATATTTGATCTTTATTTTTTGATGACATGAGGGTTCTCAACTGCTGCAAAAGCTCCAAAATAGATTTAGATTAATACCAAGCTATGACGTTAGCCTAAGTCTTTCCAGACTCACCCTCAAACGGCACTATATGCGCAGAAACTAGCATTAAAATATTTACTTGGTTAGTTTCATGGGATTTTTCTTGTATTTATATTTTATATTTATTTTGTTAATGGTCTAAACTGAACTTTATGTAAATAAAAAGCACACCCTAACCTCCCTGTAAAACAATTATTTGTCATGAATTAAAAAAAAAATATGCCTGACAAAGTGCTAAGCATCACAAGAAAGTTCTCGTGCACATATTTCCACTATCTCTAAGCAATGCGATTACAACAATCTCCGTAGAACTGGGACACTAAGTGCCAGAAAACATAAGACAAATTGTGTTTAGAAATACTTTTGCACTTGAAAAAGTACCTATTTTCAAAGTACTTATCACCATCATGTAGAGAAAGGTAGATTAAAGTGTTAATTGCTTAATGAAAGGCAGTTACACCCCAACATGAAGTTTGGCTTACAAAAGTTTCTATGTCAAAGTCTAACTTCCATGGATTGTAAAGGACTGGATAAGATCCTAAACTCTCTGGAGATCTCTTTTCCACCACGGGCAATGCCCATGGCTTGCACTGAGACCCTGTATTCCAAACTTCATACATGTATACATTTCCTTTATGACAAACATATGACAGAGGTATCTGGGCCTTTTTCCTTACAACAGGATGTCTTTTGGTGGAGGCACAACTTGAAACTATACCTGCCGTATATAAATCCCAAGTTAGCTCATTAGCATGGGCAAAACATTTGACCATAAAAGGTAAACACAACCAAATCCCTGCTCCAAACTGGCCATAAATTAAAGGATTATGAAAAGAAGAAAAAAGTAAATTAGAAGTGGAATCACTATAGTCTTTTTCTCCCTGGTAACTGCATTAAACAAACAATTGGATAGAAATCCCATTACATTATCAAGCTAATCTACTACTAACTTCTGGAAACAGAACTCTAGTTGAAAGACATTCAGAAAATGGAACCCCCATTCTAAGGTTTTGGTAGAATTTCAGTAAGAAACCAATGTCCTTCATGACTTTAATGGATTCTGGACATCAAGCAATAGGTTTTTGGAAGATGAGGGTCATGTGTAAAGAAAATAATTTAGTATTGGGAAGATACTGGCTTCCACATAAAGCAAAAGGACAGCAGAGTTGACAAAGTGTGTGAGGAACACCAGAACAGTTTCTGATTTTAGGACAAAAAGGTACATGCTTAAGATGATTTCTGGAACATCACTGCTGGAGACTGTGGCATTGCAAAGTCCCTGTCAGGCACACAGGTTGTCTATATTGTCTGCTGGCTAAAAAAGAAGAGAGTACACTTACAGAGATAAGGCTTTTACTCTGCACTATGCCAAGTGCTTTCTCAGAGAATAAGCCACTTCAAATTTCTACATCTTAGTTTCTTCATCTTTAATATGAATATAATAATCCACACCCAATTTTACAGAAGAGTGTTGCAGTACAAAACAGTATGGCTAAAAATGTTTCTTTAGCAAGGCAATACCTGACATTGTTCAGTGCATGACGTTTCTCTGACGTCCCCCTATGCTTTCACTCTCCTTCCCCCAAGCTGTTAGCCAGGTCTTGTCAGATTTGACCATCTGCTGACCACTACACGGGCTGCTCCCAACCAGCAGCAGTGTGTGCTGGCTGCAGCCAGAAGCACGATGAGGGTTTTTTTGAGAGACAGCGCAAGCAGTGGGGCTCAGGGAAGGAGGGTGTGGGATGAAGTCCCACCACGGCAGCTCCACAGTAGCTGGTGGGCCAGCAGGGAATTGTAGGCTTACTGCTGAGGGATGCCCTATAAAACAAACCTGTAGCAAATCAGGACTTGTGTTTCCACTGCCTTCCCTTTTTAATAGTGGAGAACAATAACGAGCACTCACTTTCGGTGCTTGATAGCACCACTGTTGGTGCTGTAGGAAAAGCTCCGCTGAGCCTCCCCAGTAGGTCTCTCTTTCATCCTCTCCCCCACAGCTGCCTTAACTGGAATAGCAATCAGCCTAATAGAGCCTGATAACTATCATCCCACCAAGGAAGGGAAACAGGTATGGCGGCACTGGAAATAATCTCTGCCATTTGAGAAAGGCTTCCTGTCAGTTGCTGCTCTCTGCAGAAGTGTATGTTTAAACACACTACCTAGAAGACTGCTATTTTTAGTACAGTGGTGCACTTCAAAGCATTTCCTGCTCAGAAAGTCACACCAAAAGTAAAAGGAGAAAACGTAACGGCTCTGCTGCCTCCCAACACCCCGATCCCCCTTGCAGAGGCCATCCCACTGCCATTCCGCTGCAGTTTCCAGAGAAACTGCACACTTGAGTGACTAATTACTTAAAAATACAACATTCCTCGGGGAGGAGAAGTTTTAAATAAACCTGTAAAATAGGTAACACAAGCACATGGCTAATTTTTACATACGGGAGGAAGAAGGGGGGGACGCAGGAGGATGGAAGAATTTAGCACAAGAATCTGTGTTCTAGTCTTGTACTAAATAGTTCCAGCTTTGATCTAAATTTAGGCAATGAGCACTTCCTGTGGGAGACCGTCTTCCAAAGCTGAAGATTTTTGATGCTAAATATTTTCAGTGATTTTATAATTGGGGTAAAGTGGTTATTTGTTTAAAGGCCTGGCCTTCAGCTAGATAAATGCTTACATTATTTTATATTCCCCACCATTTCCTCTCCTACTCCACACTGGACTTCTCCTGTTTATTCAGCTCCAGGTTTCACTGCATTTTAAGTAGGTTTTAAAACTCTATTTACAACCAACGGGAGCAACAAAAAGCCCTTCTGTCATTATCCAGCAGCCTTCCATCACAGCTGCGGGATTGCCTTCCCCTTACCTCGGCGCTGAGGAAGCCCCAGCACTTCAGCCCTTACCACTTTGTCATGACTCCTGCACTGCTTCGTGGTTTTCTGAACAGCCCCAACTCCTGGACCTTCCTGTACCCCGCTTCCCTCTCTCGTGGGAGATAATCTCTGTCTTCAAATTTTAAGAAAAGGCAATACATCCATAGTCCATACTCCAATCCCCTCAAATCCCTCCCCTGACCTCAGAAACACGAAGTCTAAAAATAAAAAATGAATACACTATTCACTTTACAAAGTTTGTAATATCGGGGACCTGATCTTCAAATGCTTGAGGTTGGCAATGCTTGTAGACACTGAAGTCTCTTTCTTTAAAGTCAGTCTTATAGTTACATGTTTACATTTAGGGTGAGATGCAACTTGCCTATCTTCAGTCATGAAAAAGTCAGGCGGCTAGTTTAAAATAGCCATCTAGGCTACCATTAGTCAATGCGAACATCACTAGAAAGCAGCTTACCTTCCCTATTTTAGATATACATTAGGATAAGATTTTAAAAGTCCTGGAATATTTTCCTCTTTTTCCGTCAACGATGAAAGGAGCTCATAGGACTACCTTGGACTGGACAGCTAACTCCCAGCGGGGACAAAGCCTGCTCTTTGCGAATGGGTTCACAAGCTAAGCTGCTTCTTGTCTACCCCACAGAGATCATGAAAGAGGAAATATTACTTCTTTTAGAAATCTAATTCTTGGGGAGTAAACCATCTGAAGACCATGATTTTAATCTGCTTAGAAAGAAATAACTTTTTTGGCCATTACCAAATTCTACATTCTTGTCCGGTATCAAATACTGAGGACTGAAGGATCTCTGCCTTCAATCCAGTATTGACTTCAATGTGTCGGATCTGAACTAGGAATTTAAATCTATTAGATATTTTTACAATAGTTTATTCTTGCCAGTTTAGCTGTGAGTTTCTTGATATCTGATTTTCTAGCCTACCAAAGCATAAGTTTTCACAGAGAATCTAAGCCCTCCCTCTACAGGCACTACAAAATAGTAGTTGTATTCAGAACTAAACTGACATCCAGGCTTGAGGATTTATCCCTGTAGAAATTAGTGTCATTTGGCTCAGTTTCCCCTTAAAGTATGGGAAGGATTGAAAAACCACAATTGCTTCTACATAATGGCAATAGCTGTCAAATTCTGTTGAAACACAAGAAGTGAAGTAACCTTAGGAGACGCTTGGATAACTGAGATTTTAACAATGCTGTGTCCACACTCTAGTGGCACGTTTGGCCTCTACATTTTGTGGTTATAACCACTGTTGAAAGAACTGTCTGGTTAGAGACTGCCAAAGTAAAAAAAAAAAATCCAATGCTGTGACTTAGGGCTAAGAAAATGTTGTCTCTCCCTCCTCAGCCTTAAAATACAATACAGAAAATATAAAAAAGGACATATTTATATACACACAATAATAAAAATACAATAGATTCACAAAAATAAACCAGCTCAAACCCAGTCCGCACATTAAAAATACACAGTATTTTAAAAGTGAAGGATATGGCTGTGAATGACAGTCATGAACATTTGCAGTGTATGATCTGATCATGATTTACAGACTAAGGCTTCATGCACAGGGCAGTGCTTAGGGATCAATGACCAGCTGGGAGAGTTGATAGTGTAGGACAAAGCTAAGGATCATTAACTCCAGCTAGTTATAAACTCCCCAGAAAATGCCTTATACTAAAATTGATATTGTAATTACCCATTTTATAAATAAAATAAACAGTAATATTGAAGCAGCAAATTGCTTTTGCTGCATCCCTTTTTCTTGCAAAGCTCTGAAAACTGGAGCATTCTGGGTGATGTGAACCTGGTGCTTTTTGAAAGTGAATTCTGCGTGAAGGCCAGTGAAATAACACTTTTTAGCACAGGTCCTAACAACATACAGTTTATTAGTATGTTGGGCAGCAGAGCAACAAGCAATCATGCACAGAATGCAAAGAAATTCTGAATGCAAAATTCAATGCAGATAACCTTGCACAGGGAGACATGATCTCCGCACTGAACAATTAATCATGCACGGGAACTTGGGATTGAATATAAAACTTTTTAAGTAAAAAAAAAACCCAACAACAAAACCCCCCTAACTGGCACAGAAACAAGGGAAGTCTATTTGCCTTGATTTGAATTTGCAGATCAAGTATAGCACAAAGATCAGTAAAATGCAAAGTTTGTATCAGTCCTTTCAAACAACTCCTGTCCTTGAGCATGAACCTGCTTTACATGGGAGAAGTGTAGTTGCTATGCTGGGCTCGGTCAAGAGCCCATCTAGCCCACAGCAGTTCAACAACAGCCTATGCGAAAAGCTGTCAGTAAGTCAGCATTAACCAACAGTTACAAGTATTTTCTCTTCGTCTGACTACCATCTGGGAAAGGTTCCCCAGCATTCAGTCCCTGTGTCACCCATCTCCTCCCAGGCAGAGTCTGTTCTTTTAGGGAGAGTGATGATCACAACTTAGTAACACCAGCTGGAAAATTGAGTGAGGACTGGATTTCAAAAGACAAGTAACAGCCTCTTGACGTGTCAAGAAATTACTCCTAGAGGGAATCTGGAAAAAATTAAGAAGGCAATCTCATTCACACGTAATGCAAAGATTTGCTTACCTGTTCGTTAGGCTCAAAGTTTATCTCTTCTTTTTCCGTCCTCATAGCTATTAACTTTGTGCTACCGGAAGGGTCTGTCTTACTGTCCAACCGCTCCAGTTTTGGGGGTATGTCTGGTAAACCAATATCTTTAGTATCATCTTTATCTAGCAAGTAGCGAAGTAGTGCATTATTATTCTTCTTAGGACTCGCTGGCTCCTGTTTCACAGTCACCTCCGAACCAGGACCTGTGCTACTGGACTCCTGGTTCAGTTCTTTGCCTGTGGCCTCTGCTGTGAGCTTGGCCAAATCTACAGGAGAACTACTGTCCTGCAATAGTCTGTGCAAAATTTTATGCTTCTCCTTGAGCGAGGTTCCATGTGCCGAACCAGACCCAGGCAACCCTCCCGTGGAGTCCTTGCTAACGTCTCCCATGGTACTGGACAAAGGCGAAGGCTCCATCTGATCCGATTTGGTGGTCAGCAATTGTAAGAGCTTTGTCTGGCTTTTTCCATCGTGTAGTTTATTCTGTCCATCAGGTCTCTCGCCACTGACAACCGGTGGCATGTTGCTATCGCTGTTATCTTTCTGTTCCCCTGAATGGCAGCTGCTCTCTGCTTGTCCAGTTGTACCTTCCGATTGCTCCCCGTATAGTCCAAAGCAGTCTTTAGAGTCCAGACTTCCCATCTTGCTTAGCTGGGGAGGATTCATGTTCACAGGGGAATTTTGTAAATTTCCCATTTTTAGGTCAGGTGAAGCCAACGACGATCCTAGAGAAACGCCGTGGCCCTCGCTGAGGGCCTGAAGTGCGTTCAGGGAACTGTTGGTGTAGTTATGGCTATTTCCTGTGCTGCTGCAGACTCCCACGGGCGAATGCAAGCTTCCTGCAGGGGAGAACTGACTGGGTGGGATGCGGGGACTTCCTGCCACTCCAGGGCTCACACGATGCCTTGGGGAAAGCATAGAGTTTGGCTGCCCTGGGTTCATGCCGGGGCTGCTTTGTGAGGGGCTATTCATTTTTAGTGCATAGTTACTACCCTGAGCAGTGGATGCTTGTATGCTTGACACATGGTTCATTCCCCCTGAACCACCAAACCTGCCCGCTGGCATGCCCATTTGTTCCTTTGGGCCATTTATGGCAAAATTTATATTGCTACTGATGGTCATATCCTGACCTGGGTTCCCACTGCACATGGCCTGATGGGCAGGGCTGCTGGAGCTAATTGGGTTCAATATCTTCCCCATTCCTTGTCCAGTCAAATCCTGATTCATTCCACAGACGTTCTGCTCTCTATGTGGCAAGGGGAAGAAAAACAACCCATTAGCTAAAATGACAGCGGCCAACTTGCAATTACATTACAGAAAAAGAAGCAAAACCCCAAACCTCGCTTTAAAATAACACAACAAACCTACAATTAAAAACAAATTGACAATTTGACAAAAGTGAAATGTAACTCCCAACATGGCTGCACATTAACAGTATGGTTTTTCAGTACCTCATTAACAAATCAGTGGAAGAGAGGAAAAACAAAATTATACTTCATTTAAATGACAGTCATTAGAAATGCAGATAGGTTACAATTTCAGACTCTCTCCCTTTAATGTATATCTTTTCCCTAATCTAGAACTGAGAGAAACCTCATCTGAAACATATGACCCAAACAAATACATGTTTTACGAGACAGCTGTGGACAGCTGTTTGCTGGAGGTTTGAATTTCTATTAGTTAGCCCCACCACAAGCCCAGAGTGGGCTATTTGCCCACCAAGTTCATAAGTGAAAGGAAAGTTGAAAAAGTCGCATTTCTACACTGCCAGAGTATTTCGATACTGCTCCAAAAAAGCATGTGAGCCAAGAGAACTACTGGATACTACTTCAGAATGGGAACAGTCTGTTAGCAATCCAGTCCTGCATGGGTGTTTAGGAAAAGAGAAGAAAGAAAAAACCCACACACATCGGAGCTGAAACTCGTATTTTAGAGATTTAGGCTATAAGACAGAGGAAACAGAAGAGACACACACACAGAGAAAAAGCTCTTGTGAGAGCACCTGGAGATCACTTCTTTTTTCCTCAGTAGATTTTAATTAGTTTATGGGAGGATGCAATATACTTTTTACTTCTGTGCTAAAACTTAAATCAGAAAAATCAGACATATTCCAAATGCTAAAAGCTATAAAAGAGACATAGTCAAGTAGATTAGGAAGAAAAAAATTAGGTTCTGAGAAAAATCAAATCAACTCTGGACTTTCAAAAACAAATACTAATGGAACATTCCTAGTATATATTTTTGATGAGACGAAAACCATTCCTACTTGCACAGGATAAGTGCAGATAAATCTTCACATTTTGCTAAAGCATTAGAAGTGAAAGAACTGAAGCACACAGAGTGGCGAAGCTTGTTACTCTGTATTTGTTACCTTAGGTATAAAGGCAAAGGTGAATGACATTAACTATAAAAAGAGAGGTGGATTTTCAAAACCTTATTACAAACACAATAGTATCAGTGTTCTGCTAAGAAAAAAAGCAAGAATATTTGCAAGTACCATTTTTAACTTAATGGTGCTTTTTTCGATTTAAAGTTTAGCACTTCATGAAATACCAAGTATGTTCAGCAATCCAAAGAAAACAAATTTCAGACAGCTTTTGGTAGGTCAGTTTCCCAATCTACGATCTCTGTAAAATGGTTTCAGTTTTAATTATGTTTAGAGCTGTTTTCTTCCTCTTAAAATAAGTGATACTGTGGATACAGGGAAACAGTATTGTAATTATAATCAGCAAATAAAACCTGAAACAAAATCTGACACAAGTATACCAGGACATGCAATGACTTAATTCAAACTTGACTTTGAAGTTCTGAGGTCAATGATTACTTATCCTTGATTTTAACATAGAATTGCCTGTGCCTTTTCTCTTAAAAACTAATAGTGGTGGCATTTCTCAGGATTGGACATACGAAAGCCACTACTCCAAGCACCAGAAAAGACAAGGAATGAAGAGAGACAAGGTGTTAAAGTACGCAGTTTGTCTAAAATGCAGTTCTAATAACCATAACATATTCTTTAAAGAAGACCCAGGCCCAACATATGACTGACTGTGAACTACAGGAGTTTAATCCTTCACATTTTTCTAGATTTAATTACATCTGGAAAGTTTTTTGTGTCTACTATGCAAAATACAGGAAATTAAAATACTGAAATTAAGAACATGAGATTAAAGGAAATTTTTGTATGTTTAATGGAAGATCTTGATGTGAAAATCCATTTGTAAATCCTGAAATAATCTTACAGTCTTTTCCTGCTGTAAGCATTGAATTCAAAAACTTACTTTGTTTTCATGCTATCAGTTCTAGGTCAACTGAACGTCTGTCAGCCTTAAACAATCTATTTGCTTTGGCAACTTTTTACTTTCCTTGTCTCTCTACAGAGTGTGGATGTAATAAACCAGTGAGGATTACCTGTGAAGCATATGCAAGGAGATTACAAGCTGAGGTTCACTAGTCGTCTGAGAACGGATGAGCTTGCTCTTCGTTTGGGCAGAAACGATAGTGCCATCAGACAAGGAAAACCGATAAACAGGACTAAACGCTAGTCCCTGCCTCAGCACTGCAAGCAAGCAAAATAACAGAATTAAATTAATGAGAAACTATAGTACAGGTAGCTTAGTTGCTCAACACCTGATGTTCTAAATCCATCAGCACTGATACTGCAGACACTGTGTTAATTTCTAAAAAAAAAAACAAAAACACCCCCCCCCCCACAAAAAAAAA